CTATCTATCTATCTATCTATCTATCTATCTATCTATCTATCCACTTCATCCAGGTATTTAAGGTTTTAGACTTTTCTTTCTAGGCCTGGAAATGACTTTGTGGTCCTTGGACAGTATGACCGTGGTTCCAATAATGAAGATATTCAAGTCAAGAAAATTTCCAAGGTATCATCTTCAATGATATTATTGCATTAAAACAGAAGTTTTAAACTTTTAAATCATACTATTCCAAAGTTTGCGGCCGATTTGGGGAAGTTTTTTTTTTCATGTTTTTGACATAAGTCTCTTCAAAGCTACATTTATTTAATCAAATAAACACAGTAATTTTGTGAAATATTATTTCAATTTAAAATAAATGTAATATATTTTAAAGTCTAAATGATTCCTGTGATGGCAAAGATGACTTTTCAGCAGCCATTACTCCAGTCTTCAGTGTTACATGATCCTTGATCTATGATCCAGAAATCATTCTAACATTTTTTATTATCAGTGTTGAAAAACAATTGTGCTACTTAATATTTTTTTGTGGAAACTGATGCATTTTTTCAGAATTCATTGATGAATAGAAAGTTCAAAATAACAGGATTTATTCAAAACAAAAACCTTTTGTAACAGTATGATTGTCTTTACTGTCACTTTTGGTCAATTCAAAAGTCAATAAAAAAATGTATTAAAAAAAAATCTTGCTACATTTCAAACAAAACAGAGTTTTTATTTCTACACTTACAGGTCATCACCCATCCTGACTACAAAAAACAGACCAAGTACAACAATGATGTTGCACTCCTGAAATTGTCCAGTCCAGCACAGATGACGTCCCGTATCTCTCCTATATGTCTGCCGAGCTCCTTAACCAGCATCCGCCCTGGGACTCTTTGTGTCACCACTGGCTGGGGCGCAACTGAAACTGTCTGTAAGTCTGCAATTCTTATCACCTACATACAACAGAACACTTTCAATACCTATAACTCCTGGATTTACTAGATAAACTGCTCAACCATTCAGACACTTATTGTCTCACATTATTCTTTTGCTTTTAGCAAATCCTCGAATTCTGCAGGAGGCCACTGTACCAATAGTGAGTCAAGCTCAGTGTAGGCAGTTTTGGCATAGGAACAGTATAACAGATGCCATGATCTGTGCTGGAGCCTTTGGAGCCTCATCTTGTCAGGTATGAAGATATTACACACAAGCTTTTAATAAAAAAAAAATGAACTAAATTAATTAAAATATGTGAAATAGCAGCTCAAAGACAGTATAAAAGGGTCCGAACTCACAATGTTGATCACTGATGTCTGTGTGTCCACTGCAGGGTGATTCTGGTGGTCCTCTGATGTGTGTGAGTTCAGGTGTTTGGTACCAAGTGGGTATCGTTTCCTGGGGCCACGAATTCTGCAGCACTGACCGTCCAGTAGTCTACACCCGTGTCTCTTACTTTCGCCAATGGATCAATGAAATCATTAGCTTCAGCTAGAGCACCAGCTTAAGTCTCATGCCTCACAGTTTTGTTTTTTTTGTGTCTGAATATTTATTCATTAGTCCAGTGATAAAACTGTGTCTTCATAACACTGTTACTGCTATGAAAATAACTCATGACATAATGCCAACAGAATTATTAAAAGCACTTTATAACTTATTTATCCACAATCTTTAATTTTAATTACCTATTGATTGTGCTGAACTTATGTATGCATACATACTTATGGCTGAATAAATACTAAATAAAGCATTTCTGGTCTTCCTGGTATGCCTTGACTGTTTGGTACAATGCACTAGCACACTCATTTGGGTTCACTGGAAGAAATCAAACTAAGTGGCATCTGCAAACAAATGGTGCTAGACCTTTCACCATTTTGGAATG